TTTGTGCGGTGGCCAGAGACTGACAAATCGATGGAGGAGACGTGCTGCCAGGGTCTGGGATATCCCCCAGTACTCCCAGGCAGGCTGCTCGGCACCCTGTGGATGTCCTGGACCCTCACCAACCCATCCACTGCGTCCCTCCTTGGTGCCATTTCCCCTGGCAGAACGGCTCTCCCAAAGGACAGCCAGGGCTGGCTGGGGGCTTCTATGACCTGAGATGTGTCTGGTGAGTCCACCAGGGATGTGTGCAACAAGAAAAGCCCCAGGGCTGCAGAAAAATTGCACGATCCATCCTTTCCTCAGATGACTGATCCATCTGAGGAACCAGAAGCTGATCGGGCTGCAAGTGCTGGACGAGGAAGACACCCTTTCTCCTGGCCTCAGAGTCCTGCTCTCTGGTGAGGAAAGCAAGCAGCACAGCTTGCTAAAGGCTCACATCCACGCAGCTAAAATCTCTCCTCATCCTCAAACAGGATCTATGTCCTCATCTATGCTGCCTGCTGGCCACAACCCCTAGACGCTGCTGTTCCTCAAACTGGGCACAGAACTGTGTTAAACTGGTGGCTCCTACCAATGAGGAATGCAGAAGAGGTAATATCTGAGAAATGTTTGGGCTTAAAAAGCTTAAAGTCAAAGGAGGGAGGGAATGTGGTGCCTGGAGCTGACGTTTTTTGGAATTCAACCAGCCTTGGGAGTTTTATTCAATTAAAGATGTTGTTATTTAATAAAAGGCACTTACATTCGGGCTGCGTACAGAGACAGACATATGGCAGAGACGGAGAGCAGCTGGTCCCCAGCAATGACCTCCCTCCTGCCACCACCAAGGCATTGCGGCGGCACCTTCCTCCTCCAGGGGCTCCCACGGGCAGCGGGGTCCTATGACACGAGGCAGAACTTGTAGAAATCAGCAGGGAGTGAGGGGTATCAGCCCCAGTGGAACTGGTGCCCAAGGGAAGGTCACAAGTTTTGTGGTACAGTCACAACAGCAAGGCTAAAACTTGTCAAGGCATCACTGAAGTCTGTGTTTCAGGTTTTGGCTAGGAGAGGGCTCATCCAGCAGCAAGGCTCCACTCTGCATCGGTTTTGAACCACTTTGCATCAGTTTTGAAGGAGGCTGCAGGAGCTGATGTGAGGTCCCCAGCAGGACACGTCTTTATCTTCCTTCTGGGCCCCAAATTTTTGTTCTAAGTGGCTTAAACAGCTGGCTTACCTGAAGGGAGCTCAGCTGATGAAAAAGCCTGCAGGAAACTCACAGCACTGGGAACGCAGTGCAGCTGGCACTGATACCATGGAATAATGCAGTGACTAATGAAATTTCCTTTATTGTTGCTGCTTGGGTTTTGCGATCAAGAACCGTATCCTTATTTAGCAAATATAACTAAGGTGACTAACAAGCCAGCACAGGGGTATCCGGAGGGACTGTAGATAACAGTCGACACAGATGAACAAATAAGCACCAGATGAGAGTTTTCAATGCATTTGACCCACAGCAAGAAGGGAGGCAGACAAAAAGGTCCTGTGCTCCTCACTGACCCCAAACCAGACCTGCCACCTGGTGAGGGGGGCTGCTAATAGGTACAGGAATCATTTGGGAAATTGTTGGGATAATGTTGAGTACCCTGAATCCCATATGAAGCTGTAAGTTCAATCTCTGCACTGTCAGGTTCTGGGCTGGTCTCTTCAATTTACAAGGGGGCTTGGAGCTGAGCTCCTTCCTAAGACTCACATAGGTAGCTGGGGCTGTCATATATCCAGTGGGAAAGTGTTTCTGGCCATAGAGCCCGGAGGTCAGCACACACCATACTTTTATTAACTTGCTGTAACATTGGCCTCTGGATCCTGAGCTCCACCAACACTATTTTTTATATTTTTCAATGTGGTGTGAAATGTGCTGGTGTTGCTCATGCACCCTTCTTTCCACAGGCTGTCTCAAATCAATATCTTCTCCCTGCTTTCTCTCCAGGTTCTACAGCTTTTAAAACCTTAATGTAGCATCAGAAAGAAGATTTCTTTCTAATTCCCATGACTGCTGTGGTATTCACTCCCCATTGTTCCCTGTTGCCCTTGAAAAATTATTCAGGCCCATTGTGACCTCCCCAATCCCCGAGCAGCCTCGCTGAGCTCTTTCCTGGTGTGCGCCTACTTAAAAGCAAAACAAACACACAAAAGTCCACAAAAGCTCCGTGTGTGTGCCTTGCTACCTGGAAAGCAATTCAGCCCATTATATTTCCTCCTCCAGCAGCCTTAACACGCGGCGTCTCATGGGTTGGCGCGATGAGCGTTAGTCATAAAGCTAATCAGAAACAGAGGTGCTTAAATAATTCATGGGCTGCCTTTCGTGGTGAGGAACCTCAGCGCGCAGCCCTGCCGTGACATCCACGCGGTGTCAGCCAGCTGGGAGACATCGGAGGCAATCCCTGTGAGAAGCCACGCTCCGGGAGCAATTCCTTCTCCCGGAGGAGCTAGGGGAGGGCTCTGCTCTACCTCTGCTCTCCTGAGCACTTAGCAGCTTTCTAAAATGCAAATCCAAAACAAAAAAATAAAAATAATAAAAATAAAAATAAAAATAAAAATAAAAATAAAAATAAAAATAAAAATAAAAATAAAAATAAAAATAAAAATAAAAATAAGGACACCTCTCTCTAATTCCCTAATACAAAGTGTTATTGCTGAGCATAACACCATCTGGTATGGGACATCCCGTCAGGTCATCTGTCCTGGGTCTGTCCCCTCCCAGCTCCTTCTGCACCCCAGCCTCCTCTCTGGCAGGGCAGCATGAGAAGCTGAGAAGTCCTTGATTTAGTGTAAGCACTGCTCTGCAACAACTAAAACATCAGCACATTATCAACATTATTCTCATCCTAAATCCAAAACGCAGCACCATAACAGCTACTAGGAAGAAAATTAACTCTATCCCAGCTGAAACCAGGACAAGAAACATGCAAAGGTGTATTTGTTTAGCATGCTGAGAAAATCTGGGACAGCACCCCCAGACCTCATAGCTAGAATAGAAGCTCTTCTTATGCCATGGATCACGAGACTGAATTACTGATACAGTTTGCCTAGCTACACATGTCACCAAGCTTTGCTAAGTTAATCTCACCATCAGCAGGATAATTTCTTGTGGCAAGGAGTTCCACAGCTTCGCACGTGCTGTGCAGTCGGCACAGCTGGGTTTGCAGCCCTGCCTTGCCTCAAGGAGCTGAACTTGCTCTGATTTGCACTGTGAATTCTCCTTGCTCTCAAGAGGCTGGGAATAAGGGAGAGTCAGAGACATCCATTAGCCCACAAAGCTTGTCGGGCATCTCAGTTTAATCCCCTCAGACCTGTTTCCTTTCCAGCACTCGTGGAGCACAGCCAGCAAAGGGTTTTTGCAGGCCTGCAGATTTGCTTCTCCTTACCTGAGGGTGCTAGGCACAGCTAGATAAAAGCCTGCGCGCTAAATACTGCACTCTTAGCTAATCACTCTGGACAGCCAGTATTTCCCCAATCTAGCCAGTAAAAAGCACCTCTCAGGCTTTAGGCTTCCCTATAAATACTGCCTTTTCATCAGGTATTAAGTCAGTCAGTACTCAGGGGCAGGCTGAGCGTGGTCCCCAGCTCCTGCTGCCAAGGACTAGTGCTGGCTCATGAGTGCAGGGTGCCTGGGGAGCTGGGCAACCCCATCCCTACCTGCTCACAACGGGGTCTGAGGCTTCACAGATACCCACATCGTGCCAGAGCCTTCATAAGGAAGAGGATGGGTCCTAAATCCTCTGCATAAATAACTGTTTGTAAGCCGAAATCAAAATCATTTTGACATGCAACAGGCTCCCTGCAGAAGCACACAAGGGCCCTGGATGCCCGTGCTAGGGCCTCTGGGGAGCTCTCATCCCCCCTCTGCCCAGCCCAGTGGCAGAGCGAGCCTGTACCTCCTCATTACAGCAATCTCTAGGGAGTCTGGCTTCCTCTCTGCCTGATGTCAAAGCCAGATGCATATTTCAATATCCACACAACCTATAATGGACCGTGGTAAAATCAATCAATATGCTTTCCCTCATTTCCCCACGTCTGTCTGCTTAATGCAGGAAATAGCTGCTGCCCGAGACCTTGAAATTCAATGGGTCTTTTTTATTCCCTTACGCAAATGTACTTGACCATGAGGTTTTTTCTATGAAAAAAAAAAAAAAAAAGTGAAAGCAGAGACTCACAATGACAGTCTTTTTCTTTCTGTTTTTCAAAGGGAGAACTGAGTGGCCTAAGTGGCTGGTAAAGCACGAATAAAGAGCTTCACCAGGGTAAATCCAGCAGGTCTGCACAAGGATTTTCCCAGAAGCCATCAGTCAATCATCCTGCAATTCCTCAAAGGTTTTGAAAAAGTACTGAGAGCTCAGCAGTTCAGAGGAGTTTACTGCTTGCCTCATCTGTTGCCATCTATCTCAGGAGGGCAAGTGGAGAGAGGCTCTTCCCCTTCTTTTTCTATAGTGTGGTAGAGAGGTGCTCACTAGGGATAGAGAAGAAGATAGGTTCCTAGCCCTGCTACCTTCTTCTTAACCTCTGCAACTGAACTGCTAGGACCACGATAGGGATTCCTCTTCCCCATTGTACAGATACAGCTGGGTGCTGAGCAGTGGCAAGAGCAGAGATAGGAGAAAAGTCTACAGCCCATCAGTTGTCACACTGTGCTTTGCTGGAATGGTTTTATAATGAACCAGGGGGTCTGGGATGGGATGGGATGGGATGGGATGGGATGGGATGGATAGGATAGGATAGGATAGGATAGGATAGGATAGGATAGGATAGGAGGATAGGATAGGATAGGATAGGACAGGACAGGACAGAAGGAAAGTTGTCAGGTCATTTGAAGCAATAGAGGGGAGTTCCCAAACATTTAGAAAACTCAAGGGAAATGCATGGGGACAAAAGCTTAGCCAACATGCTGGGCCACACCAAACCTCATAGCAATAGACAGTGCAAAAACAGCTGCCAGGAATTAAAGCATCAGTAAAGGAAGACTGACATGCTATTAAAGCAGGGGCTGATCAGCTGGGCCAAGTGGAGAGGGAAGATGTTGGGAGCAGCTGATGTGTTGTGGAAGGGGTAAGCCAGACACAACGTGTGTATCTTCCATGCTTTTTCTTCATTGCCCACAGGGTGACCTCTCTCTCTTGCCATCCCTTTTCTAGGCCAAGAAATGCTTTATTTACCCAAAGTATTTGATGCATCTGTCCCCATAAATTCAGCTTCCCTTTATTTTCTTGCACTTCTGCAGATTCCCATTAACACGGGCTTGAAGCAGAACAGCCAGCTCTTACAGCCCTTTACCAGGTTGTTTACTGCAGCAGTCTCTCTGAAGTCAGAGAAACCACAGCCCTGGTGTCAACTTCCATTTTAACTACACAACCAGTTATCAGCCCATTTCCATAATAAGGAGATTAAAAGCGCTGAGAAATGTGCAGTTTGCTCATGGCTGGGGACTTTCCTGCTGTCTTCCCGAGACCCTCTCGTCCTGCTGAGCTCTGCCTGCCACTTTTCCCTGGATCCCTGGGGAGGGAGGCAGTGGGTGCAGGTGATGGACATGCCATGGACCAGTGGAGGCAGCTGGTTCCTCATGCTCACAGCCCCTCAGAAGAAATAAATTAGGCCAGGTCACTTTCCTTGATCCTTGAACATCTCATTTATTGTTTAGGAGTGTAACTTGAAACATTTCTCCACTGGCAAGGTTGGTTTAGAGGTTTGTTCTGCCTGCACCCACACCTCAGTCTGTCGTTCTTCTGGGACCAGCCTGGGAATCACTTCAGCCATCAGAGTAATCATAGCTGGATCCAACCCCATTTCTGCCTCCCCTTCAGCAGAGGGCAGAAGACACTTTCCACAGCATGTAGTAATTCCCATGTCGTCCTACTTCAGAGAGGCTCAAGGGATACTTCTGAAGTAACAGACCTGCACCAGTGCAACAGAGGGCAGGCAGGCAGGGGCCAGGATGCTGATGGATGCCTCCTGGGAGCATTTCTCCAGAGTCTGCAAGCCAAAGATCTTCCTCCAGACTGCAGTAGCTGAGTACAAGTGCAAACCAGAACTGTGGTTGCAGTTGTGAGCCACTTGCCTCCAAATGCAAATGTCTCACCAAGAGCAAAGCTGTAGCTGCACACAAATTTATTCATGTGGCATCACCAGAAAACCTTCAACCACTACATTAAAACATAAGCATTTTACAAAAGCAATTATTTAACCATCAGGTTGCTGCTATTTTATGTAAGATTGGTAAAAGCTGGGTTTAATTCCTCTCCTCAGGCTCTCCGGTTTTATTTTCTGATCAGCTGCTGTCTTTTATTCCTGCCTCTTAGACCTAGTTGCCAGGACTTCAGCTTCTGGCTCAGAGGGCAAGGGAGCCCTTGCTTCAGGACTACAGTACAGATGGACAGATTTCCTTGCCTCAGCACTGGTAAACTGCTCCCTGTCCAGGTCACTGGCATGAGCAAGCCACTGTGAGCCTTGGTGCTGCTTCTGCCCCTTGGGTGTCCCCCAAAACAGAGAGCAGCCCGGGATGGGGCACAAGATGGGGTGTTGGGGTTTGCTGCTCAAGCTGATCTTGTCCCAAGACCCTCAAATTCACTTTTTTGTGAAAAGACACAGTCACCTCAGGATCCAGATCCTGAGCTGGGATGGGAAACGCATATTAAATTGCAAGGATGAAAGGAAGCGATTTATGCCAGTTATTCACTAGAAGTGTTGTAACACTGCTGTGCTGCAGCAGAGGCACAAAACTCCAGCTGTAGGTGATTGTTAAATATCCCTCCTCAGTTTTACAGCTTCACCATTCTGGGCTATATTTTGCTTAAAAACACTCACATGCACATCAAGTTTTGACTCTAAACTAAACCCCCAGCAATGCTCATCTTCCACTACATGTATGAATGCAGAGTTTCTCCCCCAAAACGTCCTGCACTGGTTTGGGGTTTGAAGTCTGACTATGAGACTGCAAATGCCATTTGAAGGCAACACGACGGAGCACCACACTAGTGAGAGAAGCCACTGGGCAGAAGATGCTTGCAGGAAAAAAAAAAAAAAAAAAAAAAAAAAAAAAAAGGGTTTGTTTGTGGCTGTGCACGTAATTGAGATGAGACAGCAACAAGTCAGAGGAAAAGCTTTCAGGGTCCCCGAAGAACACAGCATCTGCTGCGTGTCTGCTTCCATCTGGATTAACCACTGCCTGCCCCTAGAGAGGGCTCGGAGCCGCCGTGGGGACGGGTCTGGTGCTCCCCGGGGGCTTTGTCCTGCTGCACCTCTCTAGTTAAGATCTCAGAAGCGAGATTTGTCACTCAACCATCTGGAATAGGCAACCGCAGGAGGCTGCTGCTCCTCAGTCTGTCACACTCTTAAACTGTGCTAATGTCATTCAGATGTTTCACAAAGCGGCCCTGACAAGCAGGCATGAAATTAAGATGTTTGTGGAGCTGGCCAAGTGGGAAATGACAACAAGGTAGCAGGGAAAGGCAGGGGAGGGGGGCACATTCAGAGGCTGCACTGGGGAATATTTGCTTCCTCTCACTCCCGTGGATGTGCTGCAGTGTGGACCAGCAGCTCAGGGAAAGCCATGGAGCATCTCCCCAGTGTGCCCCTTGCTGCTCTCATTTCATCCAGCCTCAGGACTGAACCCACAACAACCCCTCAAGTCCTCACTGAGCTGGGGTTTTCTATCCCTTCATACCCAGGGACACCTGTCCTGGGTGGGAATGGGCTGGGGAAAGTGTGGTGGCAGTGGCAGAAAGCACCCTTGAACCCCACAATACCGTGGCCCCATGGGTTTCTCTGCACACAGAGCTCCCTGTGCTCCCACCTTGGTCTGGGCACTGGGACAAGGAGCTGAGGGCAGCCGGTCCTCACTTTGTGCTGCAAGGTGCTTTTATCAGCAGAGACTTGACACGGGGCTTTAAAATGCTTCCTAATTAAGGAGCCGGACAGCCTGGAAAGCAATTAGGTTTGATGCATCCCTTGTTTGAGAAAGTCTGTGTTGTAAAACGTCCTGAGTTCCTGCAATTAAATCATCTCCTCCCCGCTCCTCCCTGGCCTCCCCACTTGCAGAAATGTCTTTGTGCACGGCTCGTTCCCAGTGTGCCCAGTCCCCCCGAGCTGGATCCGGGGTGGAGCAGGGGTGGTGTAAGTGTGCTGCGTGCAGGAGGGGAAAGGAACGGTGCCATTTAGACTGGAAGGAGGTAGGAGTGTGTAAGGCTTGTCTGGCAAGCCCCTCTACCATATCCCCATCTTCTGGGGATGCTGCTCATGCCTCAGTTTCCCCTGCCTCAAAATAGCAGTGAAATACCTGCAGTGAAGGTATTCCCCCTTTGTCTATTCAGGACGCAAGCAGAATTCATCTAAACTGCATTTTTTTTCTTTCTGTTGCTCTGCAACCACAACAAGAAAAAATCACTTTCTTCAAAATAATCCATGAAAATATTTCACTTATTCAGACACATTTTTTCTCTTTTTTTCCCTTTATGTCCTACATGGAAAAAGGAAAAAAAAAAAAAAAAAAAAAAAAGGAAGGAAAGAAAGCATATAGTTGTACATATTTGTTATTTTTTTCCATCTACTAAATGTTATGCTCGACAGAAACAACAATCTGCTACCTTAAAAAAAAATGTATATAGAAAAGAGACTTTATTTTCAAGCCAGCAAACATTTCCAGAGAAAACAAGCCAACCATTTCCAATGAGAAGTTCCTGAGAGCACAGCCCGCTCTGCCGAGCTCGCCCTGCTGCCGTGAGCTGGCTGCTGCAGCCCTGCAGGGCAGGAGGTCGGGCAGCACCTCTTGTTCCTGCCTCCTCCTGCCCCATACCCCAGCCGGTGCCCTCCCCATGGGCATCCCCTTCCCAGGGGACAGCCTGGGGATCCTCAGTGGGACCCGTGGTGCAGCAGGGTAGAGGTACCCTTCCTCCATCACCCCCCCGTCTCCCTCACCCATGCCCTTCTCTCTCCTCTTCCCTTCTCTTTTCCTCCCTCCCAGATACTTTCACCCTATTTCCATCCTATTTTGCCCACACCTTCTCTCCCTCCCTCCTTTCCTCCTTGCTCCGCTCCTCTCCCGCTGCCTCGCCCTCCCTCTCCCCCTCCATCCCTCTCACTTTGTCTTCCCTCCAGCTCCCCAAGGAGCTCTCTAATGACTTAAACGAAGCGCCAGCTTTCTTTATCTTCAATAGCCCTCCTTCCCGGATCCCCAGGAGGACTCAGCCATGCACAGCAATTAGGAAACCAGCGCCTGGGGCTGCTGCATTTGCAATGTCAGCATGGAGATCCTCCCTGCCCTCTCTGAGAGGAAGAGATCTCCAGAAAGTTGGCAGCACCGACAGAGGCTACCGGGAAGTGAGGGCCTGAGCACGCTAGAGCTCCTCATCCAGCTTGGCAGCCCTGATCTGCCCACGTGGAGCTCTGTGGGGGCACAAACCCCCCCAAAATAGTGGGGAGAAGCAGAGCAGGGGAGATGGTGAGGTTATGGCTTACTGCAGTGTATCTGCTCGATGTCCCCTTCATCCACAGACCCAGCAAACTCGCCACAACCTCTCTTTTCCCTGCTGCTATCCCACCAAGCTGCCAAAAGCACCACCACGGAGCTGAGGGTGCCCCAGCACCACTTCTGAATTTTTAGGGAACTCGGCTCCAGCATGGCTCTTCCTCCAAAACCCGAGCCCTTCCTCCCCTCACCCCTCTGGATGCAGCGTCCCAGCCAAAGCCAAAGCCAGCGCCTCTCACGGGCTGATGAAAAGCCTTATTTTTGAGGAGTCTCTTGGGAAATGCTTCCCCTTACAGCTAATCCTGTTGTTCTTTAATACTAGCTGCCCCTCTGCTCTGCTTTGTCTTTGTTAGTCCTTATTTGTGAGAAAACAAGATCTCAGAATGGGATTCATCTCGCTGTTGTTGGCTTTTTTTTTTTTCTTTTCCATCTGATTAAGTCACCCTGGGGTCTCTGCTTAGTCAGTGAAGAAAACAGCCTCCCCTATGACGTGATTTGTCTCATGCCGGAGTCAATGTCTAGAACAAGTCAGGCACGCCAAGCCCTCGAAGCGCCTCGTCCTCTCCCCTAAGGACCAGGGAGCAAGGGGCTCATTCGGGCAGAGACACGCAGGCTGCAGGTGGCCGAGGCAGGTGACAAGCCCCCACCAGACCTCCTGGGGACTGCCCCCAGGAGCTGGTGGAGGGGCTGGACCTGCAAGGAAGGGGCCAGGGCAGCAGGCATCACACAGGGGTAGTCCCGAACCTGGGGAGGAGAAAACAAACCTCTTACTGCCCTAAACCTCAGCTCCCCAGGCTCACAGAGAGCACCGTTTTCACTCAAGCTACGAAAGGAGAAAGACTTTTACAAGGCGCCATCTGGTCCTTTTATATTTTTTTCACTGATGGGTCATTTCTGATGGATTTAAGACTTCGCAAGCTCTCTTCACAACTGATTTTCATCTCACGCACGGTGCACCTCTGGTGCACAGAGGCAGCATGCTCGCTGCGTGCCGGCAGTCCGCGAGCAGCTCCGGGACGAGCAATTAAACTGCTGCACACCCCAGCAGGATTAACTGCTCCCCAGTTGGTCTCAAAACCTTTCCCATTGCTCCTCCCATGCTTCCGTCCTGTCCCCTCCATCCCTGGTGCAGTGTCCCCATCCCCAAGATTTTGGGGAACCTCGGGGAGCACGATGGATGGGGCACAAGGATCCCCTGCTCACAAAGCGATGGGTTTCCCAGGCTGGGTGTTCGCCAGGAGAGAGGTAAAATGAAGGTGAGGATGACAAAAACCTGCCGGCACTGGCTTTTGCCGGAGGAGGGCTGTGATGGGGGGGATGAAATCCTAATTTCAGATGCTCATTGCAGGGTAATTATCAAACGGCAACAGTAGGCTGGGATGCTTGCTAATTAGGCCACATTCTTTATGACTAGTTATTCCGAAACGTCATTTGACAGACTGGGGGGTTGGGGGATGTGCACATAAAGATGTTTTTAATTACATTTGGTATGCTAATTTCTGATATAAAATAAATATTTACCAGGAGCAATATTTCTTCATTTCACGCTGGCTGCACCGTGGCATTTATCGAGGGTTTCAAACAGGCTTCTCCCGCCCGGCCCTCCCTGCCGCTGTGCCTTCCCCTCTCCCCTCCCTGCTGCTCTGGAGGGATGGATCCAGCTGCAGGGCGGGCAGGGAAGGAGGCTGCAGCATTTTTCCCCTCGCCAAGTGGCAGTGTGGCATTGTCCATCCAAACGCCCCATGGAAGGAGGGGAAGGAGGAGAAAGCTGTGCCTCTGCCCCGTGCTGCTGCCTTGGCTCCCCTGTGGGACTGTTGGCTTTGCTTCCTCAGGCAGAACCACCCAGCTGTGTGTGGCTGAGGCCTCCTTGGGTTATGATCTCCATGAAGTGAGAATTTAGGAAGGGTCTGTTAACACCCCAAATCTCCTGGGTGCAGCCAGTGATGATCAGAGGGGAGACAGGGATGGGCAACATCTCAGCAGGCTTTGCCTTCTGACCTTGGTTGGACCCTTCTGCACGTAGTAGCTTCCAACCTCTGATTTCTTCCCTGTGTTTTGTATTTCGGGGGTCATTCATTGCACAAGATGGAAGGGGTTCGTCGCAGTTCTGCTTTATCCCCATCTCTCCACGTGCAGCTCCGTACCTTATTTGCTGTGTTTCAGCTGAACCCTGATGGGTTTCCTCAAAGCCTTTTGTAAGCTCTGCTCATGGTAGCGTTCGAGTGCCACAGGTATTAATGAATTGTTCATCAGCAGTTTCCCCGTTGAATTAGGTGGTTTTATTATCTTCATAACTAAGGAACTGAGGGACAGAAACAAAGCCAAATTTATTCAAAATCATCATTAATTTGGGAAACTAGGTTTCCAAAGATCTTAAAGCCTGCTTTTTCAGGGTTTACATGGGATTTTTTGTGTCCACAGCATGGGTCCACCTGGGTATAATGGACAGCACAAATAAATCTTATTGCTCAGAGAAGGAGAAATATATTGCTTTCAGTGAGAACCCTACTTTATGCAGCCTTCCCCCTGACAGTGTCAGAAGAAGAAAGCAAGCCAGTTCCTTGGGATGGGCAGTGAGAAATCATCCTTCTGCTTTTTGCATTTCCCTGCCTTATTCCTTCCCAACCTCCCCACGTGCAACAGCGAGGAGAGCTCCTGGAGGGCGAGCAGCCTCCTGCAAAGGGCAGAGGCCTTTTAGCCCAAGTGCTGTAGGTTGCCTTGTGGGTTGAAAACTCTGTCCTGATGATACAACTGCAGAAAAAAATCCCCCTGGAGCATTTGGAAGAGATGTCAAACTGGGCTGTAGGTGCCACGGGAAGACAGAGCAAGCTCAGCCCACACAGACACATTGAGGGAGAGAGCAGCCGAGCTGCAGCTGCTCTCTGCAGAATATATATGGGCTGGGGACTTTTCCAAGGTGCACAACTTTTGACAGGGGCAGCTTTAGCTGGGCTGAGTGGTGTTTTACAAACATTGCTTCCCTTCTCCAACCCGTAAGCTTTCACTTCCCAGCCACTCATCTGTCAGAATGTTGTTTGGTGTGGTCAGACCAGCGGTGTTTATTTTTCCCCTAATCTTCCCCTCAAAAATGAATGGCGCACTTTAGATGAAACATTAAAACAGCCCGAGGCATATTTCCAGCTTTGAAAACCCCAGCTCGCACAGTTAACATACGGATCAACTTTGGAGTAGGCACAGAGGAATCAAGGTTTTGAAACTAATGGCTCTGGTGCGGCAATGAGGATGGATTTAAGGAAGAGATAGCAGAGTCAGGCTCCGGTCAAGCTATTGGATTTCTAGCTTTTCTTTTCTATTTTGTGTGTCACAGATGTGTCATTGTGCTGTCGTTGGAAAGCCCGGAGATGACACAAGACCTGTCCTGTGCCAGAAGGCTTTGCTGTCAGACCATAAAGATCCCCAAACACTGTTCCCTAACTCCCTCCTTGTCCCAAGGCTCAGCCAGGCTCAGGCTCTCTTGTGCTTCAGTTCCAGACTAATTTTTATCTCTTCCTTTTGGCAAAGACTCAAACATAGAGGAGAGACCTTTCCAAGCAGGCTTCTGCTCTCATCTCTGTCTTCAGATTTCATGCCCTTGCTCATTGTAGTAACACTGCAGTTTAACTCAGAAATCAAGGCTTCCTCAGAAAGCACCTGCTTTTTCTTTCACCAGGCTCCCCAGGAGAACCACAAGGCGCCAGGAAACCTCTAACACATCAGTCCCTACCACCTTCACACTTCAGGAGGACGTTGATTTCTGGACATCCAGCAGCCCTCGCTGCCAGGCAGACAAAAATCTGGGACAGGAGTCCTTGTCTTGTGCTTGCTGCTGATGCTGTCCCCTCAGCAAGTGTCTTGTCCCTCTTCCCTTTCTGTCCTCAGGTGAAGGCAGCATAGGGTCAGCAGCAGGGGACTGGGAAGCAAGGGAGTCCCACAGCCTTCTGGACTTGCCAGGGTGAACCACCAGCAAGGACACAGGCTAGGTGAGGTGTCGGCTCAGCAGGGGGAAGGTCTTAGCTCTTGAACTGACAGATTCAGGCTCCCTGGCTTTGTAAATTCCACTGTGAAGCTCCACGTGTGCTGGCTGTGGGGATCTTTTTAAGTTTTTAACAAATAGTCTTTCTTCTCCATGCTGAAATCTCTGATGATGCTGGACACTGATAAATGGAACTGGGTAGAAAAAGAGAGAAGTCAGAGAGACAGCCCTAGAGAGGAGAACAAGAGAGGAGGACAGATGCTACAGGGGGTGGCAGTTTGTTTCCACCTCCAGCAGGAATCAAAGAAATAAATAGGAGCGAGACAGGCATGAATGGGAACCCCTTTGGCTGCAGAGATAGTGCAGGGCCCAGGGGACATTTGTCTGGGGTCACAGCAGAGCCAGATCCCCTGGTCACCCTTGAGGGTCCGGGCCAAGCTGACTGCGGCTGGCAGGCAGTGAGTCTGTGCTGGGGCACCCAGAGCGAGCCAGTGCCAAACTGGCCAGCTGTGTGCCAGCTCAAGGGAGGGCACAGGGCACCTGGCACGGGGAAATCTCAGTCTTGTGGCTGGGAGGACAAAGGGGATCTAATCCTGCAGCTTTCTTCGTGCTCCAGGAACGATTCCCCTTGGTTCGGAGGTTCTCCCCACACCCCCACCTTCGTCTTCCACTTCAGTCTCTGCCAAGTCTCACTCCATCTGAATTCACTTTAAAGGCTCTGTTTAAAGCCTCTCAAAAAGGGCTTCATAATGTGTTCCAACAGGAGCCATCGGAAAAAAAAAATCCCCTCCTTTATTATCCCAGCTGGAGAAAGCTCTGTTTCAGTGCTCTATAAAACGGTTGTGTATCATGCCCAGAGGGTCTTGGTTGTGCATTAAAGCCCAGAGTGGGTGAAATGTCAGCTACAGTTCAGCCAAGATGGGATCCCTTAGGGTTGGAAATGCAGCCTGTGGCTCCCTTAATGTCACCCTGTCCTCCTAATGGGTATAAAAAGGACACGGGGGGCACCGAACGGTGAGAAATTAACATAGAGGCTGCGTTCATCCTTCCTCAGCCTGGAATGTCATTGCTCCTAAAGCGTTACAAACTGGCAGGCAAGCCGGGTACAGGGGCCAAGTCTGTTAGCAGAAGCCTGGAAAGCACATGGAGAGGACACGTATCGTTGCCCCCGTGTCTGCTGGAAGTTCATTTATTAGGAAATCTCAGAGAAGTTTACAAGTACAAGCTGGTTAAAGCTAAAGGTCGAAGACTGGGAGCGAGTCTTCCTGCAGTCCCTTTTCCCACATCCCAAGCAGGACTGATCCCTGAAGACCACATGGAGAAGGCAAAGCACATTGAAGGGAGGTAACTCCTCCGGACAGCCAAGAGCAGGGAAGAAAAGCCAGGACTGACAAGAGCCGAGCTCTTGTCCTCAGCACTTAGACCGTGGCCAAGTCAGAGCCCAGGAACACAGTCCCCTGAGTCTGGCTGTGACATTGTCCTCTGCGAAGCCTTGCCCAGTGCATTGCCTTGGCCATGTGCCTGGTTAATGGATGAGACCCACCGTCCTCTGATGACAGGAGACAGACATGAGGGATGAACCTCACATGGCTAATCCTCTACCTTTCATGTGAACAAAAAGCTCTGTCAACAGCCCTCAAATAAAAGGAAAAAATAAAAGGATGGTTTATATTTAGCTGATGCTGTGGAACCTGCAGGCTGCATGCTAATTAGCTGGGAAAAGTAACAAGCTCAACCTGAAGCGCTGGGAAGTAAAGAGCGTCTGAAAACAAAGATTTTATCCTGATTGTTGAGACTGCAGAAAATTATTTCTGCAGGGTTGTTTGTTTGTTTCTTTGTTTTTATGGGGAAAATCATGTGGGGAACTTCAACAGATAATGACAGTCTGGTAAATACCCAGTCTCCCAAGAGCTGCTGCATTTAACACTCAGTGTTCCTGTTTAGGATTGCCCTTGGATGCCTCGTTGTGTGGAAAGCAGCAAGGGTATGAAGCCGTGCTGCTGATTGTGATCCATGAGACTCCACATCAAGCTCTACTGAAAATAGTTTTTCCTCCTTAGCTAGGAAGGACAGAGGGCCAGCAAGACATCTGGCTCTGGTCAGGGTCAGTGAGGACTTTTAAAGGATGTTACCCAAAGGGATGGGAAATTGACTTTCAGCTTTTGGTCCTGCCCAAAATGTCATTCAAAATTCAGACTTCAGTTTTTCTCTTCTAAGCTTTTTTCCTCGAAGCATCCAAAATAGTGGATAACGTACAATTTAATCTGACCTGTGATATTCCCACAGAACTTGTACTTTTAGCCAGGAGCGATCTCTGATGAAGAACCTCTTTGTCCATTTCCAGAACAGCTCGGGACCTTCCTACAAGGTCTGCCCATCACTTTGTTACACCTCCTAACTGGTATAACACCCTCTTCTTTTCCATTTTGATATTATTGATGAGTGTTGAGCCTACATGGGTTTCAATGAACGGGATCATTTCAGGTGGCTCATTTTATCTGCTTAAGCAATCAATATTTTTAGTTTGGAAGCTGAGTGGCAGACTGCTAAGCAGGTAAGACACAAAAACTTTGAATCAAGGATCTATATATCCTGGTGTTCAGGTCTGGATTTATCATAAGTCTAAAGGAGCTTTAGTCCCATGTTATATACGGGACTCCTTTAGCTCAGCCCCTCTAGCACTGATAATTACCACGTACGTTACACTGGTATATGTCATAGATGTGCAGCTTCCTAGCTCCTTCATTTAGATCAGGGCTGTGTGTCACCTCCAGGTAGGAGGAAATCAAGTTCAGCACCGTGGCATCACTCATAGCAGAAAAGTCACAATCAGAGGTGGGATACAGATGGGTGCCACTTCCCATGTTGTTTCCAGAGATTCTTAAGGCAGTAAATATCAGGTAAGGATGAGGCTCTGCTTTCATTTGCCTTTTATTACAAGGCCTTTTTTTTTCTACCTAGAGAAAAGTGGTCGCCCCCTGAAATGCTGTGCCATTGTGCACTAGGTGCCAAGCAGCACCTGGTAGCCTACTGCACCTGCTGGCACTCAACCAGCTGTGGTGCTGCTCTGAGCCGTCCCTGGGATCTCTGCAAATTAAGCCAGTATGAGAGCAATCCCACATTAAGCAGTATGAGGGCAACAGCTAATGCAAGGTTACAGGTCTGTCCTGCTGGGATGCATCCCAGAAGGTCCTTGGTTTGCAAAAGAAGCTGTGTCAACAGACGAGCAGGTGGATTTAATCCGATATACAGCAAAACCAAACCACAGAATCTGAACAGCCTGGTTAAACTATGCCAGGTCAGGTCTGCTCAAATCAAGATAGGTCTCTGGTTTGGTCTGGTTCAGGCTAATCTGAGGAGGTCTGTCTGAATGTGCTCTGCTTTTGTCCTATCTTGGCTTTTTTTTCTTTTTTTTTTCTGTTTTCAAGGAGTTTGGTTAGGTTAGTGTGAGTCAGCAACTCACAAACAAAGGTTTGTGGCCAGGTGGGCAGGTTTCTCCACGTGAAACCCCAATGAACGCACAGTGAGAATGAAGTTATTTTTCTGAGGAGGCTCAAAGCCTTGAAAAACAAAACAAACAAACAAAACAAACAAAACAACCAACCAACCAACAACAACAACAGAAACCCTTAGGATAAATTCAGATCATTGCAACCAGCCAAGCTAACAATAGGCTCAGCAGCAGCCTTGGAAAACACGGCGCTGATCTGTTAGGAATGACAATAAGATCAGCTGCTGCTTTAATCAACAGATTGAACACAGTAGGGTGGCTCTTCCAATTCGCTTTAGGCTGACAGCTTCCAGAGCATTTTGTCCAGGGCATGGTGAAGTCTAACCCCTCTGTTCCCTGCCTGGAGAAGGAAGACGTGTGTCCACTCAGGGTGCCAGCATGGGGCTGTCCGCAGCATGGGAAGGATCATCACCTTGTCCTGAGTACCAGGGTGAGACCACAGAGGACACAACAAAGCTTTGAAACACCTTGTCTGGATTGACCATACGCTGGATCACATCAGAACGTAGCAGGGAAGAAGAAACCCTCCTGGTGCTTTCCCCTGCAGCCTTCTCTCAGCTGCCATGGAGGCAGGCAGGAGTCTCTCCTCTGGACATCACTCAGGACATAAGTTGTATAATTACAATAAACATAAACCCTTATTCTCCCTCCATCTTCCAAACACTCTGTGTAGCATGTGGATGTTCAAATGCACCATCCTGAGGACTCAGACAGCTCTAAAATTTGCAAAGCTACCTTTGGTCCTGTGTTAACGTGGGACACAACACACACACGTGTGCTGAGGAGCTCCTTGGACTGCAGTGACCTTGCTGGCTGTGAGACAAAAGTCCCAGCTCAATTTGAGAGGGTCTGTCACTTTGTACACTGGACCAAAGCAAAGGGAATTACTGTCTGATGAGATGCTGATCCCAAATGGAGTGCTGCTCAGGGAGGGAGCAGGCAAAGGAAGCTCTGACAGCAGAAGGCAGAGATGCAAATAGGAAGAACAGCAAAGCAAAGTGACCTGTTATGTCCCCAGATACCAAGGGGGCAAGGAATGGAAATGAGGACTGGAAGACATGGGAATAATGCAATAAAGGTTAGTGTAGACAGGGTGGTGCCTTGAACAGATAGCATGGTTAAAACCAAATGAGCAGCCTTAGAAAACCCCCATGATGTTGAAAAAAGGGGCACTCTGAAGAGGCTGCTGGTCACGGGCTAGAAAACAAGAGCAGCTGTGGGTGGGAAGCTGCAGCCCTGGTGGGCTGAGCAGCCTGCTGCTGAGCAGGCAGTTTTCTGGGTTGCATCTCTATTTGTGCAAGGGGTATAATCTCTGCCGGATGCTCTGCAGATGCAGGAATGGGTCCACAGCCACAGCTTTGGGGGTCTCTATGGCAGACGGTGCTCAATAAATGGGCCAAAGAGTGAGCAGTAAACCCACTGTGCAAGTGCACTGAATCCAGACACGTCATGAGAGCCTGCTCCAGCAGAGCAAGGGCGACCAGCAGAGAGAGATCTCACCATCGGTGCAAAGAACAGAGGGACTGAACGGAGAGGTTTGGGTGAGGCAAAGGGAAGCTTTTGGGATGAGGGTGGCTTTCACGGGACACAGGATCCACCCCTGCTGCCACATCTAGCTCCCATGTCCCTAAATTCTCCTTCCCCCATCCTCCTGGGCCAGAGGGATGCAGAGGGGCATTTTGACACAGCACATCTCATTCGCAACAGCTACCGACCTTTGGGAAGCCACACATGGCCCATGACTCTCCCCCCAGCCCTTCTCCTTGCCTCCTCGCTGGCTCCTCCAGCCAGCACCCGCTGCCTGGCTCCTTTCCTGAACAAATCATTTTCTTGAGCAAACACAATTTACGGGGGGGCGAGGGGGGCTGCGGAAGGGAAGGCTATTACTGTTCTCTCTGGGTAAAGTGGGCCTCATTACAAGCTCTCTCCATGGCTGGTCAATACTGCTTCCCCGGAGGCTGAGGGACATTTCATTATTCTTCACATTACCTTGTTCATCTCCTCCACGTTTCAGGGGGTATTTATTGAACGCTTTGCATAAGCAGCTTTGGAGCAGAACAGCACGGAGAAGGGATGGACAGAAAATGCTCTTGGCTACTGCACAGCAAGCCTTCGGGGTCTCCCAGCCACCACCTCCAGCAGAGGTACCACCGTCCCTCTGGCACGCTGCTGGAGAAATTGGATGCTTCGTCCCTCTCTGCCCCCAGCACTGAGAATGGAGACAGAGGTGGCAGTGAGGATGTGGGAGCAGGGTCTGCTTCTGGCTTCAGTCCCAGCCACAGAAAAAAAAAGTCTTTTGTCTAGGCTATAGACAGCACGCCACAAACACCAACTCATAAAGCAACTTCTGTTCAAATTAGAATAAAATGTGTTAAACTGCTGTTCACCATGATTATTTTCCAATTATGTTTCAGTTTAGCTCAATTACTTTCCCATTGCTGCTCAGTGAATCTTCTCCATTTTTTTCCCACTTAAACGGCTGCTCTGTGTTTTTCCATCCCTGGGGCCAGCTCTGCCCCTCCGATGGGGCAGCAGAGGCCAGCTCCCACCCAGCCCAGTGGCTCTTCAGCGATACACCCGATCCCAGAGGGGCTGGGAGACCACGCGGACACCCTTTCTGGGGAGAGATTTTTCTTTATTCACCATCATGTAGACCCTGGGAGCTCCCCCCTTTCCCCTTTGTGGATCCTGGGCCCTTCCTTTCCCTGGCACACACCCCATGGTGTGGCTGCTCAGCCCACTGGGGCTCCCGGCAGCCTTTCCCCTCGCAAGGCAGCAGCAGAGCTCAGGAGATGTTAATCCCTCTTTTCTTTTGCTTAATAACCCTCACCTCTGGCCCTGCCTTTGCACAGGCCTGGGAGACACAGGGATGCCTCTTTGTTTTTGGATGCATCTGTATCCAGGAGGTTAATTACGAACACTGTAATTCTGTGGCCCTCCTAATGTTAAATGGAACAAAGGTTAATTGATGTGATTACAGCTCATAAGCTGAATTGCAGCCCTTAGTGGGATGGATGATTTCAGGCATATGGGCTGCAATTATTTCTCCCTCTTGGCTCATCTGGGTTTTGCTAAACCCGTGGTAGGGACCTAATGATACTTAATGGCACGAAGATAAAGCAGTTAATAGTTACAGTACTCTGTGAAGTTTAGTGTTCCTCAGGCTGAACTGACTGCCACCGGGTGTTTTTTTGAACAACGGATACAAACGTGCAATAATGGTCGCATTGGGTGAGACCAGAGGCCCAGGTAACTCAACAGCCTGATGAGAACAAGGCAGGGATGCTGTGGGATTTCCCCAGATTACTCTCCCAGCCACCTTTCTCTCGAGGATGCACATGGCATTCCTGTGTCTCAGACTTCACAGTAGATTTTTCTAGCACAGAGCTGTCCCGTTACGCTCAGGACGCTCCAGGTGCTGGGTACCATGGTGTTTCTCAGCTCAGCAATGTCACAAGTGTCACCTTCTCTGCTCCCCTCAGGACCTCTCAGTCCTGAGGCTAGGAAATAGAAGTCATTCCTTTTTCCCCTTCCCCACATTACTCACAATTTCATAAACTTTAGCTCCTCTTCCAGGCAGGGGAGTCCTGGCCCTGTTAATTATCTCCCACACTCCAGCCATCCCACGCCTTTGGTCATCCTCCCTGCCCTGCTCTGAGTCATTACAGCCATAAAATATAAAAGACGTATGAGCAGGAGAAGCCAGAACTGTCTGCCCTACCCAGCACATGGGCAGTGGCGTAACGATGTGCTCTGCTTTGCTTCTCTTTCCTTCTTATGGCAGGAGCTTCCTCCACCTCTGAAAAAACCTCGTTGAACAGGCTCAGAAGATCACAGCAGGTTCGTGGTGGATACACAGCCTGCTGTGGCCTCGGGCATGGATGAAGAGCTGCAAGGAGTGTAGCAGACCCTCCTAGCACTCCGAGATGAAAAGACATGCCTGCAATCAGGACTTCCAAACCACTTAATAGTGTCCTCACAAACAGCCCGCTCATTGCCATCAGGGCTATAACACAGCTTGGATTAGAACAAAGTGTGCCTGGATGGTGCTGAGTTATGCCTGAGTATAATTCCTACCACGTACATAAAGCACGGTTATAGAAAAACTAGAAAAACTTACAGATTTTCCTTGGTCACTTCCTTTTTATTTCAGAAATCCTCTGTGAGCATACAGCAAGCAGAGGGACTGTGAGCCACAAGGGGAGCCCTATGAGAGACCTAAGAAAAAAATAAGAAACACTATTTTCCCTCACAGTGGGCATAATCCAGCCTTACAACTGCAGCCACTGCTCCTTCTATTAAAAGAACTCAAGTAGTCGTTCTGGATATACAAATATTGCCGTTCCACGCCGTACTTCCACGGGTTGCTGGAAAGCCCATTTCCTCCAGCCATGCACCGGGATATCAGATGTGTTCTTTGAATTTCAATGGTGGCCATGCAGATGAACAAAATAATGCACATTTTTGATGGCGCATTTGGCTAGGATGGCATTAAATTTACAAGAATAAATTCAATTAGTAGAACCATTCATTCCCTAGCATTTAACTTATTTACACTGAATAAACACATCAGACAACCCCCTCTCCAGAGATTATTCACAAATGCTTGGCAATGGGAGCGTACTCCTTGGTGCGTGTGAGTATAATAGAAGGAAATGAATAATTTTTGCAAAATGATAGTGATTTTGCATTTATATCAATTGTTATATTCAGGGATCTCAAAGCGCTTGGGTGAAGATTGATACGATGCTGCTCTTTTTTTGATATTAAGCACTTATCTATATGGCCCTATATCTACAGCATCACCACATCCTATATATAGGAGGCACAAAATGGGGCTTTGCTCGGGCAGAAGCTTTCTGTGAGGAAACTGCTCGTGTGGTGCAGGGAAGGGAGCGAGGCTTAACCTCTACTGGAGGAAAAGGGATAATGTCCTAGTGGTCCTATTAAGCTGTCCCAGTGGAAGTTGTCCCCAAATCCAGGCATTTTTTAACCTCAAAGAGTTTGGGCACAGAGAGGTGGGGAGCTGAGTCCAACTCATTTTCCATTTTTGCCCCTTGCCCTCCACCAGGGCTCCTTGTGTTTTGAGCTCCATTTCCAACCAATGGCTCCTCTGGCAAGGCCCCTCAGCAGGCTGCTTTGGAGGCATAGACCACCGCAGAGAGAGGACGGATGGGATTAAGGGGAGGGGAGAGATGAGAAGGAGGACAAGGAAGAAAAGTGGAGATCAGCTGGGAAGTGGCAAGGAAAGGTGAAGGGATGAGAAAGCAGGGTACAGAAGGCGGTGAGAGAGACAGAAGGAGGCAAGGAAGGATTATTTTCAGGTTGATAACACCACAGTCCTGAGCATGTCTTCCTAAGCGTGCCCACAGGGATGGGTTTTGCCCATCCCTACCATGAGCAGAGAAGGGGGCAGGTGGGCACGCTGCAGTCCTCTCCCTTCCTTCTCCCCCGCCATAAAGCTGGCCCTCTTCCTGCCCCCTCAGCCCACAGCAAGAAGGGTGCTGGGACCCAAAGGGACTCAGGCCCTGGCTTTGCTTGCTGTGAACTCATTCAAACCCCGCTCCCTCGGGCGCCAGCAGCCTTTGGAGAGAGGAGGGCCAACGCGGAGCAAATCCCCTGCCTTTTCTGTTCTCTGTCTGCAGGTTCATTTGTTCAATCAAGCCTTGGCCACGGCTCAGCAGAGATGCCCAGGGTCACTTTATCTTCCCTGTTTGTTTGGGCAGCCAGTCAAGCAGCTAGCAGCAGAAACAATGGGATTTTCTCTTTTGTGCGTGCGGGCAAAATTAAATGTGATTTGAACTCGCTGCTGGCTCTGCACCAAATGAGCCCTCCAGAGCACGAGCTGTCAGGCAGTCGAGGAGGGGCAGCACTTCCCAGCACAGCAAGAACTTTCCCTCGACAGAGATGCTCGGGGAGTGCAGCCCAACGATTGCCTTGCTCCTTCGGACCTCTTGCTGCCAGAAAGATGCCTCCCCAAGCTGCCTCCTTCCTTCTCCTTACTCCACTGGAGGTGAGAGCCAGAGATGTGGATGCCCCCCTCTGCGTGCTCAGGGATGCAGCTCATGCCCATGTGCTCCCCAGCCTCCTGGGGAGCTTGTGTACCCTCCCCAGCAGTCACCAGACTCGTCCTTGTGATCTGCTTTGGGTGGCTCCAGTGGCATGAGGGTCTCCTCGGCCCTCTCCAGGAGGAGTACCCATTGCTGTCTAAACATAAGGTTTGCCCTGCCAAAAGGCTGGTGCTGGCTTCCAGGAGCCTGAGTCTCGCTCCTCTTCCACCAGCTGCCCTGGGAAAGCCACCCCAGGGCTCCCTGGGCACCTGACTCATGCCTTGCGACACCGCACCCTGAGATCTGCAGCACAGGAGAGTGACTAAACACAGATCTGCTCTGCAGACGTGACTCATGCTCCAGCAGGGTCATCCTGGTCCCAGGGTGTGCGTAGGACTTGCTTTTCTTAGCCCACTGTTTCCCCCTGCTCTTGTCCTTCTTATCCACCCACCCTCCTGCCAGAGCTGCCTAATATTGCCACGGAGATAATGAGATCTGGTCCAATTGCTTAAATCGCTACTTGCACACAATTTGCCTGCTCAAAACACCACCAGCAGGTCCCAGAGCTTGCAACTCCTGCCCTTTTCCAAGTCAGGCTTGGTCCTGCTCCTCCTCCTCCTCCTCTCTGCTCTGCTGGCTGTGGTTCAGGACTCACACCCACGGTGCCAGGCAAACCACGTGCAGATGAAAACTGCAGAGAGGAGCCACCCCTGAGCTCCCAGTCTCTGGGAATGTTGGTCAAAAAAATTAAAAATCGGCCAACTTGCCAGCCTGGCAGGGAAAGGAGCGTGCTTTGGCAGCTCCATTGCGTGGGGAAGCATCCTTCCTATCCTGTGCCCAGCAGGAAGGGTTGATGGAGGAAAGCCCAGCTGAGCCCTTCCTCTCCTGCCTCTCCACCTCACAGCACTGTGCCACAGCAGCCATTAAGCTGAGCAAAAAGCCAGGGCTTTATTTTCAAGCATGTCATCTCAGGAAAGGCAGTGGGGGAGGCTGCAGGACCCTGGGGAGTGGCTCAGGGGTGTCCTAAGGCAAAGCCCCCCAGGTCACTCAGCATGAGGAGCCCCAGCATGGTGGGTTTGGGTCCCGAGCTCCTTTCCTGCTCCCAGGGCCAGCTGCAGGAGGGGTTTGTTGGGGAAGCAGCAACTCAAACGGGGAGAGAGGCAGCGAGAGGACTCATTAGGGGGAAAATCAAAGCCGAGTATATGTTAATGGGAGGATTAGGTGAGGGAAGGCAGCTTCCCAGGCAGCCAGGACGCTCGTGCTGCGGGTCCCTCGGGTGTTCATTACACGCTGGTATGTGCAGAGCAGCAGAGCCACCCGATCTGCTGTCA